TTTTGACATTCTACAGGCCACTATCCTCTGGAGTCATTCCCATTTTTGTCCAGGCGCCCCCGACCAACCTCACCGAGGCCGGCCAGGAGCACCCATGTCTGCCCAGGTGCCCCCGACCAACGTAACCGAGGTCGGCCAGGAGCACCCACGGGATGACGACAACGGCTAGCAGTCGTTTTGCACCATCTGCCATCCGCAAGGCAAGGGGATGCTGCTGCGTAGCACTGCAGTACCGCGTCTGCCAGCAGCACCCAGGAGACATACGGTGACAGTGAGCTGAGCGGGCTCCATGCTTGCTGTGGTATGTCGTCTGCACGGGTAACCCAGGAAAAAAGGCAAGAAATGATTTTTTGCTGTTGCTTTCACGGAGGGAGGGGGGCCTGACGACATGTACCCAGAACCACCCATGACAATGTTTTTGCCCCATCAGGCACTGGGAGCTCAACCCAGAATTCCAATGGGCGGCGGAGACTGCGGAAACTGTGGGATAGCTACCCACAGTGCAACGCTCCAGAAGTCGACACTAGAACTTGGTACTGTGGATGCACACTGCCGACTTAATGCACTTGTGGGGACACACACAACTGATTGTATCAAATCGATTTCTAAAAAAATCGACTTCTATTAAATCGACCTAATTTAGTAGTGTAGACATGCCGTCTGTCCAGCTGTGGCAGTTTTCTGGTCCCCTGGCTCAGGGATGGCAGGTTTGTATAATTTTTGGTGGTGCCCAGAACAGGTCCAAGTCCTGGCCCCCACACCTGCCTTGTAAGCCAATATACAATAACTCCTCACTTAAAGTCGTCCCAGTTAAAATTGTTTTGTTGTTACGTTGCTGATCAATTGGAGCAGTGGTTCTCAAACTTTTTTTCGTGGACCACTTGAAAATTGCTGCAGGTCTCAACGGACCACTTAATGATCTTTCCAAATGTTGTTTGTACCGTTTACTATTATAAAGCGCTTTGGATAAAAGTGCTATATAAAAAACCCCTTAATAATAATTAACGTTTTTTTGTTCTGCATATAAAAAGCACACAACTCATATTTTAATATCAGTAATCTTAACCTTTCTAATGCGATGGATGTGTCCTCTCTCCCACACCGGGGCAGCCCCCAAGCTGGGGCTGGGAAGGAGTGTGGGGGGTCTCTCCCTCTCTTCCCTACCGCAACAGCCCCAAGCTGGGACTGGGAAGGAGTGGGGAGTCTCTCCCCCGCCACAGCAGCCACAGAGTTGAGGCTGGGAAGGAGGCCCGTATCTCCCCAGCAGCCGCAGCCCTGGAGCTGGGGAAAGTCACCTCTTTCTCTGGTCGCTGCAGCCTTGCACATCCCAAATTCCCCCCACCCCCTCTTCTCACACTACTGCCCCTCCCACTTACTCCCTATTCCCCCCAAGTCCACCACCTGACCTCACATGTGCATCTTCTCCAGGGTCCAGGCACCTAATTAGTGGAGCCACGCCTGCATGGCTCCACTAATTATGTGGGTGTCCCTTCATTTTCTCATGCGTGGCCACCCAGGCGCACATCTTAGAAGGAACTATCCACAGACCACCTGAATGGCACTTGCAGACCATTGGTGGTTCACAGACCACAGTTTGAGAACCTCTGCATTAGAGAACATGCTTGTTTAAAGTTGCGCAATGCTCTCTTATAACGTTGTTTGGCAGCTGCCTGCTTTGTCCACTGCTTGCAGGAAGAGCAGCCCATTGGTGCTAGCTGCTGAGGGCTTGGAACCAGGCTGCGTGGGCAGCCCCCCCATCAGCTCCCCTAAGTTACCTGGGCAGCAGCCGCCCAGCAGGCTATAAATTTCTGGGCAGGTCAGCTGCCCCTCCCCCCAATGCCGTGTGCTGCTCCTGCCCTCTGCCTTGGAGATGCTTCACGAACTTCCTGCTTGCTGTGCGAGGGGGGGGGAAGACGGGTGCTGATGTCAGGTGTTCCCCTCCCCCGCTCCTGCCCCCCATCTCCAGGGGAGGACACGACAGGGCTCAGGAGGGAGGGAGCTCACTGGCAGCAGCTGCGGTCTCAACTTGCTGATCTACTTAAAAAGGCAATGTACTTAGAGTAGGGTCAGCCTACTTAAAGGGGCAATGCGCATCACTCTCTCTCATACACAGACAGGCTGTGTGTGTCTGCCATGCTGTCTCCCCTCCCTCCATTGGTGCTGCCTTGTAGAGTGTGAGGCTACATTAGCAACAATGTGTTAACCCTGGAGGGCTCAGCCGAGTGCTAGTTCATTGTTTAGCAGCAAGGCATTCCCTGGGAAATAGCCCACTCTCTGATTCCACCACCTCAACCAAGCTTCACAATCATTCATTGCTGTGTACAGTATTAAACTGTTGGTTTAAAACTTATACTATGTATATGCATGTGTGTATATATATAAAATATAGTCTTGTCTGGCAAAAAAAATTCCCTGGAACCTAACCCCCCTCCCATTTACATTAATTCTTATGGGGAAATTGGATTCGCTTAACATCGTTTCGATTAAAGTAGCATTTTTCAGGAACATAACTACAACGTTAAGTGAGGAGTTACTGTATATTTTTTAGAATAATGTAAAAATGTGAGGGCTCTGGGGTGGGGCTGGTGATGAGGGGTTGGGGTGTGGGTGGGGCTCAGGCAGAGGGCTGGGGATGAGAGGTTGGGGTGAGAGGGAGCTCAGGGCTAGGGCAGAGGGTTGGGGTACAGGGGGTGAGGGCTCTGGGGATGAGGGGCTGGGGCAGAGGGTTGAGGTGCAGGGGGTGAGGGCTCTGGGCTGGGGATGAGGAGTTTGGGGTACAGGCAGGCCGGAGAGGAGGACTCCCCCCAGCCCTCTCTCCGTCAGCAGCAGCGAGCTCCGGGGGAGGAGCCCCCTCTTCCCCCCTGCACCACATTCACCTCATACTGTTGTCAGTGCACGTGCTCCTAGGGCCCCTCAGGTCCAGGAAGCCCCCTTGCCTCCCCTGTGGTGGGTGCCGGGAGGTGGGGCTGCCATCACATGTGCGCCTTCTCCCCTGCTACTGCCCCTCACTGTAGCCTCACTGGGGGTGGGGGATAGGGTTGCCCTTTGTCCAGCGGGGGGCAGGAGCAGTAACTGTGGGGCCCCCCTGTGCTGGTGGAGGGTCCTGCCACAAAAGGGAAGGGTCTGAGGCGGAAGGGCAGGTGCAGGGTCAGCCTGCCCTGGCACTAGTGGATGAGGGCTCTAGGACCCTGCGGCAGCAGTTGATGCCGGGAACCAGCAGAGCGGCAGCGTGGAGCTGCAGGGGAGAGGCAGGGCCGCTCCAGAGCGGGGGGAGGTGCACAGGGGCAGCAAGTGGGGGCCAGGGGACACTCGGGGGAGGCGTGCAGGGGTGGCAGGTGGGGATGGGGAAGAGACCCGGCCCCAAACATTGGTGGAGCCGGGCCCCTGGGCCCTGAATATTGCTGGAGCCCGGACACCAAGGGCCCATACAACTCGCCGCTCCTACCCTGGCTTATAACTATTACCATAGTATCAAAGTGCATCCCAATCTTTAATGTATTTTATCACAGTAGGTAGGGAAACATTCCTACAGAGTATCTGAGGAACAGATTAAGTGACTTGCCCAAAGTCACACATGAAGTCTAGGCAGAGCTAGGAGTTGAACCTCAGTGTTCTGAGGATAGGCTACTGTTCTTGACCATCATTCCTCTATCAGTTTTGCAATCAGCTCCCAGGTGGCTGCCTCCAGCCAGCTGATCTCTTTCCCATTCTCTCCCCATGCCTAATTTTCTCTGCTCCCAAGATTACACTTCCATTTTCTAACCATTTTAGATAACAAAGAGCCCTGTATTAGGTTAGATGCTGATCTGGGTTCCTGCCTATGCAAAAATTACTTGTGACTCATTCCTTTCCCTCCCTCCAGCTCATTCAGATGAAGTTGGGAATAAGTTAATCAGTAAGGAGCCAAGAGGCATGACACAATATGCAACATACCTCCACTGGGAAGCAGAAAAGATGATCACTAAATACTTCATCCTCTTTGTTTTGAGCATTTTGTGTTTTAAATTGAAGTGGGAATAAAAGTCCCTCTGGACTAATTTCTACTGATGATGTGCACCATCCTACAGATCAGCTGAGGTGCTTTTGCTGACAGCCTTTAAATGTGCACTCATGAGGGAGGGTGGGCGGTTTCTGTAGATGGTCCCTAGAAGTGAAATTCGTTCCCTCTTGTAATTCAGATTGGTTCACTTTCAGAACATTATGCAAGATTCTTATTTCAGAAAGCCTGAAGTCTGGCAGCATCCAAACTTTGGAGTCATGTTCCAATCTTAGGCATCTTGTTTTTTCCCTGATAGAGGTCATTAAAAACAAAACAAACAAACATATAAATTAATCACTCACCTCCACCACTCTTAGTGCTTTCACAAACATCCAAAATATTAAAAAGCCAAGGACAAACATCCAGAAAATACACCAGAGTCTCATGTAAAACCAACTAAGACTAAAATAACACTCGGCCAAGATAATAACCACCCACCATCTAACTACCTCACAGGTCTCAGCCCACCTCCTCAACAAAAGCCTGAAACAAATGAGGGCTCTGCCAGACCATATGGGGAAAGAGGGAAAGGAGGAGGAGCATTTCCTGCCAGCTTTCTAACTAGTTAGGACTGTAGGGGTGGAGAAGCCAACTTCTAACCTCTGCCCACTCTGTAACCAATTGAAGGACAAGGCCAACTTCTGCAAGTAGCATCTTGCTGGCACGTGAAGTGAAGACACCGCCCGGAAAGCTCCTTTCCTGAACATACCCTGTCATCAGGGATACCTATTGCCAGGCTCAGATGGATCCTGTTCTTCTATTCCTCTGTTCAGGGCCCTTCCTGCTCGGAGCATGTGGGACACTGAGACCCATTCCAGGTTAAATGGACCTATATAAGGGCCATTTCACTGTTGTGGTTCCCACAATAACCGTGGGAATACAATACAGTTTTCCATTCAACACTGTTACATAAAACACTGTTGTAACATTGTCAGGGATGCACCCTGGATAACTGGTCCTTTAGCATTGCTGCATCACTTGATTATTGGGAGCCCCCATCTGTGAGATCAACTGAGTGTCCCTAGATCCTCATCTCGCACCCACAAGGACAAGGGCTGCAGTGCTTCTGTCCAAGGAGGCCTGTTATCAAAGGGGAATCAGAGCTTACTGCAGGGAAAGTAAGCATATTACTAGTGAAGATTCTAAGTTACTTACCTCCACAGACTTACAGGAACTAGGTTTTCTTACTCTCCACTTTGTTCAATAGTTGAGGCTTTAAGTGGCAACACCTGACCACGCTCCAGTGAACGATCTTCTCAGGTCTACTTGCAGGCTGTGCAGATTGTGTACACAGGAAGTGAGTATATTCTTTCTGATCCAGTTCATACCAAGGGTCATGCTCCTGCACACTGTAAATGAAATTCCCACTGCCTAACATAGAATTAAGCCTAAAGAAAGCAATAAAATAATCCAGAATATCACAAGAAATTAAGACATGGTAACTTTTAACAAATTATGTTTTTTAATATATAAAATGCTGTACAATTTTTACTTTAAAGGCCACTGAAATCTGAAAAGGGAAGCCATGAATGGCTTCTCTTCCTTTCTTTGGACCTGGTTGCAAATTGCATGTATATTTTTCCTAACCTGACTACCCGTAGTTTTTATTCCTCGAAACATTAACTCAGCATTCATGAGCAACCTTACAACACAGCAGAGCACCAAGCGTGAGTGCATGCTGGAGGGAAGAGAGAGAGAGCAGGGGAGAGAGCTGGTCAGAAAACCATTTCAAACTTCCTGGGGTTTATTCTAAGCAGTGACAGGGGAAAAAAATCCTTTAAAAATGATGAAAAATAAATTATCTTGGTAATGCTAAATATATATTCAGCAGCTATGTGAAAACAGCCACACTAAAAATAGTAGTTGCCATTATAAGCCAAAGGATTAGGAAATATAAAAAGGAAAAAGGTCTGTAGTGGATCCATATGATAATTTTACTTCTGAATTATTTAATTGTTAACTTGCTTTTAGGACTTACAAGTTTATGGAGGAAAAGTGTACATTTATGTCCAATGCTTCAGTTTTACAGCTCTCTTCTTCTCCAAGTGGAAGTTCCAGCCCCCACACACCTCCTTCATTTCTAGATACACTGCCAAGATTTCTGAAAGTTAAAATGCAGCAAGTTTCTGTTAAACATTACTTCATGCTTCTGGCATTAATGTAATAGAAGTCTGCATTGGGACAAGAGGGAGAAGCAATGAAAGCTGATTTCCTGGCATGCAGTGGAAATCCTGAGAAAATTGAAATCTGCCATGAATTTTAACAGCTGCATGGCTGCTTCGCTCTATGAGAGTACATAGTTACATAGCTCTTTATTATACCAAGAGGAAAACACAGAGGCACTTCAAGAGGCAAAAAACCTAGTTCCGCCATAGATTTGCTGCTGTAAAGATCCCAGTTTACTACATGGTCCAACTGATGTGGATGCAGTAGCAAAATGTGGACAGTAACATGCATGAAATTAAGCAGCAGGCTGCAACTTTTATTAAACTTTAGCACAGGGGAGAGGGTGCTACTTACCCATCACCCAACCTGTCCTATACTAAGCATTTAATTGGTTCCAGTGCAGGGGTTACAGGGCTCCTTACCAGGGAGGCTGGAACAATTTTTTTAGTGAGGGTGCTGAGAGGCATTGAACCAAACTGTAAACCCTGTATATAATGGGAACCACTTCAAGCCAGGGGGTGCGGCAGCACCCCCAGCACCCCAAGTTCCAGCAGCTATGCTCCTTGCCATTCAACCCTTAATTCAGCATGGGCTATTCTCAGTCTATCCCCAGGACTCAGCACTTTGAGTCCTAGCAATCTCCCCACATCCTCCCCCGAAAGGGGGACAGAGGGTGCGGAGGAGCGAGGCCCTTGGCCTGCGAGGGCCACAGGATCTGACCTCAACTTGCAAAGGCCACAAGGTCTCACCCTATCCTAGGAGCCCAAAGCCCATCACCAAAATCCCAGGTCTTACACCTCTGGGAACTGTTCATTTTATCCTTTTAACTGCACAGGCAACTGGCCACAAGTTGTGATGAATTAACAACTCAACCCAAGTACCTCAGTTAGGTACGAAGCACGTTCCTACTTAACCCACTGTGACTCAAAGGTGCTGCAAAGAAGGTGTAAAACTCCCTGGTCCTCTGCCAATTGGACTATGAAAGAAAAAATTCTTCCTGACCCCACCACAATGGGCTCTTGGTTAGACCCACAGCATCTGTCAGGTTCTCATTCCTAGTTCAGGGTGGGGCTTCTGGAATAGAGCCGAAAGAGGTTCCACCTGGCCCCCACTGCAGGTTAAATTCTGGGAGCTGGGGAATGCTGGCCAATCAGCACCCCTTTCCCTCTAGCTGGCCAATGGGTACCAGAGACTTTGGGGAGAGAGGAGCTACCTGGTGTCCCAGTGACAGGGCTGCCCAGAGGGGGGGCAAGTGGGGCAATTGGGGGTGGTCCACAGGGATCTCCACGAGAATATAGTATTCTATAATATTGCAACTTTTTTTTAATGGAAGGGGCCCCTGAAATTGCTTTGCCACAGGCCCCCTGAATCCTCTAGGCGGCCCTGCTCAGTGAGTGTCTCCTTCTCTTGCTGCTGGTACTGTCCCCTTTCATCACTGGCCTCATCAAGTTCTCCCACCTGTCGAGGCATGTGGGTGGCATTTAGCAAAGCTGGAGATGTCAGTACAGGTCATTAAGGCTGGGTAAATACCTAAACAAAACTATTCTGCATACTCAGTTAAATAGAGCCCAAAAGCCTCTTTCCCAGAATTTGCAACCTCTTGTATTCAATTTCTGCAAACGTCGTTTGTACTAATGTTCATGGAAACAGAAAGCAAATATGTATGTGAACAAATATTTACTAAGAAAGTAACCACTTTGAAAGCTCTAAGTGAGCATGGGAATCATGCAATCAGGGAACAGAAATGATAGTATGTGTTTTAGATCTGGGGTTCTCAACCTTTCCTGACTACTGTACTCCTTTCCGGAGTCTGATTTGTCTTGTGTACCCCAGGTTTCACCTCCACTTAAAAACTACTTGCTTACAAAATCAGACATAAAAATACAAATGTGTCACAGCACACTAGTACTGAAAAATGGCTTACTTTCTCATTCTGTCTGTATGAAATTTTAGTTTGTACTGACTTAACTAGTGTTTTTTATATAGCCTGTTGTAAAACTAAGCAAATATCTAGATGAGTTGATGTACCCCCGGAAGACATCTGTGTACCCTGAGGGGTACACATACCCCTGGTTGAGAACCAATGATTTAGATGACAACTCAGCACAAATGACAGTGAATACTTGGAAGTCCCTGTCACAGCAAATAGTTCTTTAGCATTTAATAAGACAAAATATAGTTCCATACATTGAATAATGATCAGTAACACATTTGTAAAGAGCAGAGTCTGTTTGTGGATAATTAAACATTTTAAAAGGCTACATTCACTGAGTGAAGTGTTCAGTGTGAATAGTTTTCCCAGTGCTGCTGCTGATAATGGCTGGTATGACAATGTTCACATACATGGTTGTTTACTCTAACCATTAAAAAGAACAATTGTTCATTGTTCCCTTCTTTTCTCATTTTATGCCCAATCTGTGTTCCACCTGGTTCTCAGGCACCATATGGTCCAAATCACAAGTCATGTTGCAGTAGCCAAGATTCTTATGTACTGAGGCAAAGGAAGGAAAAATGGTGCATGTACTTTAGCTTGAACCCTATTTTTCTATATAACAGATTATTGGCTGATGTTTCCATAGGGTAATCAATAGGTGCTAGGAAACTTATTTCTGGAACCCCAAATTCTGATGTTTCTATTTTGGCAAATCATCTTAATCTCCAGAGAGTCTTTCCTAGTCTCAAGGACTGATTGCCTCACCTGCCTATTTGTGCATGAGATCAATAGAGTGAAGACACCAGCTTTTTTTCCTGTCTTGTTATCTTCAATCAACTATTAACGTATGTGTTATGCTGGAAAGTGTTAATGGTTGCCGTCAGTCACAGACATGGTTAAAGTAGATACTGTATTAAGCTCCTTTAATTCATGCTAAATGGAAGGAGCAATTAAATGCCCTTATATGTCACAATAGCCACCACCCCAAGGCACTAGCCAGCATGGTCAGGCCTCAGCAGAATCTAAGTTATGTGGGCTGAAAGGTTTTCCTGGGTACTGACTGCAAATACAGAGACTGGAGCACTGATCTGCATATCTGTATGAGAAAAAGGCCTGATCTACACTACGAGTTTAGTTTGAATTTAGCAGCGTTAAATCAAATTAACCCTGCATCCATCCACACAACGAAGCCATTTACCGTGACATAAAGGGCTCTTAAAATCGATTTCTGTACTCCTCCCCAACGAGGGGAGTAGCGCCGAAATTGACATTGCCATTTCGAATTAGGGTTAGTGTGGCCGCAATTCAACGCTATTGGCCTCTGAGAGCTATCCCACATGACCGCTCTGGACAATCTGAACTCGGATGCACTGGCCAGGTAGACAGGAAAAGCCCCGCGAA